TAGGTTGGAGCCCTTGGAGCCCATCGCTGGTTAGGTTGGAGCCCTTGGAGCCCATCGCTGGTTAGGTTGGAGGAGAAGAAGAAAGCACTCCTCCCCACTTGTCGCTGGCTCCAGCCGGTGGCCAGCCGACGGCCAAGGTGTGACCAGCCTCGTCCTGCGTGAGTCACTCGGGCGCTCCAACAGCAATTGGCCTCCAACCGATGTGAAAAGGTCCTAGTAGATTCCTTTGCTGGTAATTACAATTCCAATTAAATTCTTCTTGTTACTAGTAGTAGGGCACTTGTTACTACTAGCGTGGCACTTGTTACTAGTAGCTTCCTACATTAGACCTTTCATGACCTTTCTTTCTTTTCTGTTTTAGTGGTGGTTCTAATTGCGATGGCCAACCTAATAGTCACTGGACATCCATACCTTCACTGTGTCACTCCCATAGCACCATCCATGCACCCGCCGCTCCTTGAATAGTGTACCACCACGGTAGGGATCACGTGGCAAAGAGGCATACGGATCATCGGCCTCGAGGATCGTCAGATTCGAAGCAGCGTTGCCATAATCATTCATTACAGCTTAATCGGTGGCCCCCTGGGACAATACCTTCAAGCTCCTGGCTGGATTGTCTGTGTCCATGTTGGCCACATCCTGGCAGGCATCCTTTAGGTCCGAATCTAAAGAGCAAGTCCTTGTCGGAATCGTCTTCAGTGTATGCAACGTCTAGTCCATGGCCGCTAGGGAATTAGAGCAAGCCCTTCAAAACATCTCGATGAATGAACATACCTTGGATCTATGACTGCAAATCCAAAAGAATCCAGATGAAAGGAAGAAAGAAAGAAAGCTACTAGGAGCAAAGGGGCATCGCAGCAAGGACGCGACTAGGAAGAACATCAGTCGCTCCGGCACCCCGGAGCCTCAAAGCTTCGGTGGCTTCGCTGGGCTTCTTTGGCCACAAGCTCCACCGCCCTGGACGTGTCCCAGCGTCCCAAGTCCAACCCGAAACACAATGGCCTCCAACCTAATAGCCCAAAAGTTCTCTATCAGTTTTTCAAGATTTCCTCAAACGACGGCTTGTTTGATACCAATCCAACTTTTTCAAATGTTCCTTAGCAAGCTTGCGAGAGATAAAGACTCCCATCACACAGTCATTTCAACGCTCTCCATCCTTCCGTGTGCACACCCTGGTCTGTCTTTGCCACCCGCCTTTCGTCTGCTTCTTTGGCAGCATCAGCATCTAGCCATTCCTGGCATCAGCTCATTCAGATTCAAACATTCAAACCACCGAGCTACAGACTCCTGTGCTCCGAGCCTACACTGGGCCTAAACTATCCACCTGAGCTGTACCCGCCAGGCCTGAGGCACCTCTGCTTCACCTGACGCAAAACGCCATACCGTTGCACGACTCTGTCTTGCCATACCGTTGTTTGCTTTTGGTCACATGCATTCTCATGCCATAGGTTGCCATACGCTGCCATGTCCGTCTTCATCAATAATATTCAATAATCATGTTCTTCAAAACGCCACCAGCGGTTCTTCACCTTCTAGGTTGGAGGCCATCGTTATTAGGTTGGAGACCATCGCTACTACCTTGGAAACCATCCCTATTACCTTGAAAGTAAACGCTTTTGTAGCTTGGAAGCCATCGCTATAGTATCTTGGAGGCCATCGCTATAGTAGCTTGGAGGCCACCGCTATTAGGTTGGTGGCCATCACCATTAGGTTGGAGGCCATCGTTATTAGGTTGGAGGCGCTATAGTGGCTTGGAGGCCATCGCTATTAGGTTGCAGGCCATCCCTATAGTAGCTTGGAAGCCATCGCTATAGTAGCTTGGAGGCCACCGCTATTAGGTTGGTGGCCATCGTTATTAGGTTGGAGGCGCTATAGTGGCTTGGACGCCATCGCTATTAGGTTGGTGGCCATCACGACAAGGTCGGAGGCCATTGTTAGTAGGTTGGAGGCCATCGCTATTATATAGCTATTTGGTTGGAGGTCATTGCTATTGGGTTGGAGACCATCCCTACCAGGTTGGAGGCCATTGCTATGTGGTTGGAGGCCATCCCTATTGGGTTGGAGGCCATCGCTATTAGGTTGGAGGCCATCGCCGGTTAGGTTGGATGCCATCGCTATTAGGTTGGAGACCATCGCTGGTCAGGTTGGAGGCCATCGCTACTAGGTTGGGGGCCATCACTATTCGTAACTCAGATTGCTCTTTTAAAATATGGTTCATTTCACATCAGTTCACTGATTCCGTGGGATCGCTTGCCATTCCTCCGTCGCGCCGAAGTCGCACCTGCGTATGCACCTGCACCGAATGCACCTGCACCACCTCCGGCCACCTTGAAAACCGTTGAGATTGACTCAAAAACAGTTTTTGTTCATGAAATGTTTTGCCCGACTTGTCCGAACCTGGAGCGTTTGCTGAGGTTTGTGCAATCTTAAGTACATGAAACTGGAGGGATCGTTAGAATTAAATGTGAACATCTGAAACTCTGGTGTCTTAGTCACTTCTGAGACCTTTTCACTCTAAGAAGCGTTTCTCACGGTCTGCTTCCAAGGAACGCCTTGGCCAGAACCGCCTTGGCCAGCTACA